ACTGACTCTCACTGGGGTACAGTCCCACACCCACTGACTCTCACTGGAGCACATTTACACACACGCCATCACTCACTGGAATACAGTTCCACAGTCACTACATCTCACTAGGTCACAATTCCACAGGTGATGTTTCCCACTGGGGTACAGGTTCACAGTCACTTTATGCCACCATGGCACAGTTCCACAGATACTATGTCTGACAGGTGTACAGCTCCACAGACAATGTCTCTGATTGGCTACAGTCTCACACACACCAATTCTTCATTGGCTACGTTGCTCCACGTGTTAACACCTGCTGAGGTGCAGTTCCACAAAAACTGGCACTTATTGAAATACATTTCTACAGGTTCTGACTCTCAGTGGATATAGTTGCACAGGAACTGACTGTCAATAGCATCAGGATTCATTCCCACCCCCGGACAGACTGATTCTTCCCACCTGATATTGTCATCAGGATAGGTGAAAGTTTTATATTTTATATCTGCAAAGATTTGCACATATATCTATCGTCAGTGTGAATTCATATACGTCCAAACCTAAACCATACACCTACACACCTAAACAGACACACACACACACACACACACACTCCCTGTTGCAGTCAGAATTGTAACTGAAAGTACTTACAGACTGGAACCTTTGCGAGCATACAGGCAGAACCAGATGTCATACAACTGCTGTTTGAATTCCTCCTTGTTCACTTTCACTGTCCTTTTCTTGATTAAGTACCTGTGTGCAATCTGAAAAGAAAAAGCAAGACCTTTCAGGAGTTGGAAAAGGCCAGCGATCACAAAATCCAACCTTCCATGACATTTTAAACCCAACCAGTCACCACCTTGACACTTATTTCAAGCCAACCCACAAACAGTTTGCCTATACCCACAAAGCCCACTGTCTGACAGTGTGCACTGTCATGTTACCTGCAACACTGGCGTTTCCATGACAGCATCCAGAAAGCTGCGAATCTCTAGCTCCAGAGATAGTAGAACTGCAGATGCTGGAGAATCTGAGATAACAAGGTGTAGAGCTGGATGAACAGAGCAAGCCAAGCAGCATCAGAGGAGCAGGAAGGCTGACGTTTCGGGCCTAGACCCTTCTTCCTCTGGGATGATAACCTCTGGTTCTCTTGTGTCAGCTTCATAATTATCCAGCAGGGAAATGAAAGCTGAAAGAAATCATAAAATTGCCTCTGATGTAATCAGTGTTGTGTGTCAACTGGAGAAGGTCAGACGTGGGTGTTTCACTCATAGAGAGTGGCACTCTGTTTGAAAGGAGGAAGGAATACAGAGTAATGTCCTCAGATATAGGGGGTCAGGAGGTGGGGAGATGGGACTGTAGTGAGATTCACATAAATCATGATGATGCATCTGATCCCATGACTCTGATGAGAAGACACCAGTGCAGCATGAACATGTGAATAAGGAGGACTTAGACCCTACATAACAGAGCTGTATCTGACAATCTGCTGTATACGAATGTAAGTAAAGTTGTGTTACAGGATATAAGGAGTTGAACAGCTTTACACAGAGATAAGAAGCAAGCAGTATCCCAGAGAGCATTTGTGCAGCCACACATGACCAAGATACAACAGACTTGTACCTCAAATGAACAGGTTGGCTTATAGCTAAAGCCTGGTGGCCTGTGGGGAGAACAGCTTCAGATCCAGGATCTGAAATTACAACAGTGACTAAAGGGCACAGCTGGAAATGGGGCACCTCAGAGCCAAGCAAACCCTGAGGATTTTGAGAAAAAAGGCTGGAAAAGCAGAAGATTCTAAAGATAAAGATAAAAAAGACTTCAAAGTCTAGCCACGAAGCAGTGATGCTCTGGAGAAATACCCAGAATCAGAACATTTTAACAATAGGAAGGAAATACTGAAATCAATCAGACACAATAATCGGCTAGGATGGCAGTCTGGGGGAAATCTTTCCTGTAGCTCAACCATTTGATGACATCGATAGTCCACAAGGAAGCCAGACGTGTGAGCCCTGGGAGCAGTATCAATGCTATAGAAGGGCTTCAGGCATATACAAGAAGGAAGGACTGCATCACATCAGCTCGTTTTTACATGCTGTACATTCAATAGCCGATGATGTTCCAGTTCAACAAAATGTGCAAGGAAGTACTAGCGAGGATTATGCATTGATTAATGCTTCTGATGCTTATTTTAGCCACAAAGAAAAACTGATAGAAAAGGCAAGAATTAACCAGTGATCTCAGCATTTGGGAAAATCAATAGAAGTTTTTGTGATGGATTTATATTGTTTGGCAGGATGCTGTGAGTATGGAGCTTTGAAGAATGACTTAATTAGGGACTGTATAGTAGTAGGTGTCACAAATGAGAAGTTATCTGACTTTCTTCAATCCAAGAAAGGATTTGACACTGGAACAGACAATCTAATTTGCAGCGCAAACAGAAATCAGAGTCCAAAATCAGTCAGTACTGTGAGGAATCATCAGGGATTTTTCTGATTGGTCAGATGGGTAGACTGTATGATGGTGTTGCCACCCTCCCGAAAATACAGCAAAACACCAAAAGAGCAGGAATCAACATCATCAACTTTATTGGCTGTAAAAGAAATGGAAACAGAATCACATGTGCAATGAATGACCTGCAGGGGGAGCTGAGTACTATCAGTGTGACCATTTATAGTATCACATGTTCAAAAATATTGTAAATTAATAGTACCTTCAATGGCTCAGAGACAAAGAAAAGGTCCTTAAAAAGGAAATTTTCCAAAAAAAACAGAAATCATGCAATAGGTACAAATGTAAGGGCAGTTAAAATGCAGAACAAGAGGTGCAGACATCATTTCGAGACAAGATCAAAGAGAGTCAAAACAGATTCTTGACTATCAACATCAAGGTAAAGGGCTTTGAAATATAATTTAATCTCAAACACAAGAGCAGTCATTTTGATTCTGGCCAGCAGCATGCCATGTTTGAAATCTGTGAGAGTCAAAGCAGTGACATAATACTCCCCTAAAGTCCAGGACGCACAGATCTTCAACTCAACGTTAGTCACAGAGGACAAGATATCAGTGAGATACTGAATATGATCAAGAATGCCTCATTGTTGAGGAGGAATGTGTGTATTGTCTAGATCTCTTACGAAGAGTGAATACAATGCATCAGAATGCAGATAAGAAAAAAATTTCAGCAAGAATTTCCAAAACATATCAAAAATTCAGGAAACTTGAAGCAGAAGTACATTACTCTGCAAGAAGCTGCTAAACACATGTGCTTGTACATTCCAGGAAAGTTTCCTATCTTTTGCTGGGAAGAATGTAATCTCAGTTGGAAAGCAAACAAACATGTGAAATAGGTGCAGAAGGAGGCTATTCGATCCCTCATGCCTGCTCCACCATTTAAAAAGGTCATGACTGATCTGTTTGCGATACAGACTCATATTTCCATCTACATCCAAAGTGAACAACCTTTGCTTTCCCTGCCTAAAAAAAAATCCACTTTTATCTTAAAAATAATCAATGATCCTGCTTCCACCACCTCCTAAGGCAAAGACTTCTAAGGTCATACAACCTCCTGAGAGAAAATAATTCTCCTCATCTCAGTCCTAAAAAAGATTGAGCCCTAATTTTAAAATAGTGCCCTCTAGTTCTGGACTTTCCCACAAGAATGCCGTTTCCACATCCACTTTGTCAAGGATATTCAAGGTCATGTGCAGTTCAATCAAGTCACCCCTCACACCTCTAAACCCCAGTGTAAACAAGTCTAGTCTGTCCAACCTACCCTCATAAGACACCTCAATTATTCTAGCTATCAATCTAGTAAACCTCCTCTGAACCATCTCCAACACATTCATATCCTTCTTTAAGAAAGGAGACCAGAACTTTATACGGCATTTGAAATGTGGTCTTTCAAAATACCTGTTTAATTCCTTTGCCATTTCCTTGTTCCCCATTATTGCCTTCCCAGATTAGTTTTCTAAAGGACCTATATTCACTTTGCCCTCTCTCTTCCTTTTTATATATTTGAAGAAGCTCTTATTTTCAGTGTTTATATTCCTCATTAATTTGCTCTTGTAGTTTATTTTTTCTATCTTTGTCATCTTTTTAGTCCTCCTTTGTTGGATTCTGAATCTATTCCAGGCTTCACAGCGATCACTGACATTTGGCTCCTCATATGCTTTATCTTTCAACTCAATAATCTCCTTAACTTTCTTGGTTACCCATGATTAGAATCTTTCCTCCTTACTGAGATGTATTTTTGCTGAGAGTCATGAATTAGCTCTTTAAATGTCTGGTACTGTTGCTTATTGTCATTCTTGCTTATCAATCCATCCAGTACACTTTAGCCAACTCTATCCTCATTTCATTGTAACTCCCTTTATTTAAGTTAAACACAGTTGTTTCTGACAAAAGGTTCTCACTCTCAAACTGAATACTAAATTCTATTATGTTATGATCACTACTTCCTAGGTGATCTTTTATGCTAAGGTAGTTATTAATACCGCTCATTACCCCATTACCAAATCCGACATATCCTGTTCCCTGGTTAGCTCCATGACACATCGCTCTAGGAGACTATCCCTCATGCACTCTATGAATTCCTAGGAGACATTATCCACGATCAAGGCATCACAGTGGATCCAAAGAAGACAACAGCTATTAAAACAGCTATTAAAAGTTTCTGGCACCAAAGTGCGTAAATGGTGTGCTGTACTTCTTAGGCTTAGTGAACTCAGCTGGAAAGTTTACCCCCAACATACCAGTTTCACTCAAAACATAAGACAGCTTTTGAAAAAGTCCAGCGATGGCACTGGCATCAGGAACAGACTGCAGCTTTTGAAAACATTTTTTAAAGATGAGAATATAAGAAATAGGAGCAGGAGCAGACCAATCTGCCCAACATTCTATAAGATTGTGGTTGATCTGTCCTATGCCTCAACTCCTTTTTTGCACCAGCTCCTCATAGTTCTCTACTCCTCAATGTGTTAAAAATCTACCTACCTCCTCTTTAAATACTTTCAGTGATATCTCTACAACTCTCAAGGGTACAGAATTTCAGATATTCACCACCCTCTCAGAGAAGAAATTCCTTTTCATCCAGTTTTAAGTGGGCATCCCAACATTCTGTAACTGTGTTCTCTAGTTTGAGATTCCCCCACTAGTGGAAACGTTTTTTCAACATTGATCCTATCAAGCCACCTCAGAATCTTGTATGTTTCAATAAGATCCCCCAAGTTACTTTATGGTGGTGCTTCTGCACATTGCAATCCAGGCTCATTCACTATTGTAGTCACAGATGTATCATCCACAGGATCAGGAACAGTACATATTCGAGTGCAAACTGACAGAGCATAAAAACTGGTTGATGTTACGCTGACAGTTTTGACAGAGTCTGATTGGAGGTATGCAACAGTGAAAAAGGAAGCATTAGCAAGTGCCTTGGACTGAGAAAGGTTTGCAGACTGGCAATTTCAGGTCGCAATGGACTACAAGCCTCTGGTAAGGCTAGTGAGATTGAAAGAAATTTCAAAACTGCCTCCATATACAAAGATTCAAGCTCAGGCTGATGAGATACAATCATGGTATAGTCTATGCTCCAGACAACGTGCGAGGACAGCAATACACTCTTGAGGGCAGCAGTGCATTGAACAGAAAAAGATCTTATTCTTATAGGAGAAGTAAAGTCTTGGTCTACAGCTTTAACACTTTACCAGCAACTGAGGGCATGTTCGTGCAGCTTAAAATCCTAGCCAGGATTGCACAAAGATCAGACACTCTGTCTGTGAGGTGGTTGAATTACAGTTCAGCAGAACAACTGCTGAAAAGGTGCCACAAGCAAAAACAATTCTTGACAACTCTGGGAAATGTATTTGTGTACAGCCATAGAGGGTTACAATAAAGTAAATGCAAAGATAAATGGTACAGAAACTCCATGCTACTTTTAGGTATTGCCAAAATACAACAATAAGCAAACATTTTGAAACATGTGAAATGAACATATGAAATAGGAGCAGAAGTAAACCATGCAACCCATTCAGCCTGCTCCACCATCCAATAAGATCATGGCTGACTTTGCAAAGAAGGGGTATTTTATCCCAGTCAACTAGGATTCAGGATGCATTTAAGCACCGAGACTTAATTCAACCTCAGCTGATTGCATGAGCAAGCAGTGAAAGGGATCTTTGCAATACACATTTCCTGTAAGTATTAGTATCAGGTAATGGACCCCAATTTGTGAATGAGGATTTAAAGGGAGCTAGGCCAGCATCAACCATGTGTCAAATTGTCCACACCATCTTCATCAAACAGAGAGTGAGGAAGACTGGTGAAGACTGTGAGGTCACATAAGGAAACCATAAGACTACAAGATATAGGAGCAGAAAGCCACAGAAAAAAGCAGCAGAGCTGCTACAACTCTCAACATGGGGTGAAATCTCTGTCCGCCTCAAAACTAGGACATGATGTCTGGTTAAGGGAAAAGAAATTTGAAGCCACTATTCTCAGACAAACAGATTAACGGAGATCTTATAGTGTCAGAACAACTTAAGAAACTGGAAGGCATTCATTTCCTCAAGGTAAGTAGTGAACCCAAGTATATTTGTCACAGAGTGTAGGACAACTGTACCTATGCAACACCAGTGTGCAGTGGTACACTATTCCACTCACAGTATAACACCATTACCCTTGTGCAAAACTCAAGTGAACCAGACTGACACAGCCAGTCAGAGCTGGGGATCATTGCAACTTGTGAGATTTGAACTTTGAGAAGGGCATTGAGAAAATTGTAGTCAAGGTGATAACAGTGAAAATGAAAATATTTATGTTGCTTATAACAAAAATGATTACAGATGCTATGTAATGAAGTAAAACTAAATTAATGGATAATGAGGACATGGTCGAGAGAAACTGAGGGGAGATGTGATATCATAAATTCATGTAAATTATGATGATGTAACTGATCATATTTGATGTCAGTAAGAGAGAAGACACTAGATTAGAATTCGTATGCGAAGTGAGAGGTCTTAGACAATGCATTACAGAGCTGTTGTTTAATAGGCACCTATGACTCTAATGCCTCTTGTCTGGAGCCAAGCATTGCTTGTACAGGGACATTGGCCATGGCTGTTATACTGTCACTGTTCTCCGCTCCTGTGTGTCTGCGCAATGCTTACTAAGTGGTACTGCCCATTTTAATCATACATCAGGCCCCACTGAGGTGACAGTACTTGCACTGGCAGAGTATGAGGTGGACTGAAGTGATGCTGCCTCCTCAGATGGGACCTCCATCTCTGAGATTGCTCTAATCCCCTCAGCTCCTCTGACTCTGACAATTCCTTCTGGGATGGACAGGGGCACAGTTGCCTCTGCTCCGCTATCACTGTCCCTGTGTTGCAAATATCAGATTTGGTATCACGGGCCACAGAGGTGCCACTAATGAGCCAACTGAGAAAGACTCAACTGCAACCATGGTGTGAAGACACTCCTTCATCTTACTGAGCTCCTGTGCAGGAGTCTTGTCCCGCACAGCATAACATACGCTGTGCTGTCATATTACACATTCAGGACTGCCACTTTGCCACTTACTGAAGTATTATTGACACTACACCGATGTAATGCCACAGTACCATGGTTGATAATCTCTTCGTTCACCCAAAGCCAGGATTTCTTTGTGACACTGGTTTACCCTCCTCCTGCCACCATTTGTGATTGTACCTGTCCCATTTCTCTCACCTCTAGAGAAGTGACACTGAACCCAAGAAGTGGCCCTTCCTTCCATCCGTCTCACACACTTCGCCCTTTCCTCAGCCTTCTCTGTGCATGGCTAACATAGGCTGACCTTTAAAAATGGTGCTAGTGTTAACCTCATCTGCCAACCATAGTTGGTCAGCTCCATCTCCGACAGGATTTAATTGGCAAATTGATGTAAGATATATCTAGAAGGCTTCTCCTCCTTACACAGGAGGTCACAACACAGAAATGGCACCCCCAGCCCTGCCCCCTGACATTGGGATCATGCCTCAACCTGGAAAACCCAACTCAAAGTCTCTCAATGGAGCTAATGCTAGTTTGAGGTTGTGCTGTTAATTCTATTGTTATTGGAGCAGGAACTTGGATTGATGCAACTTGTATTAGTGCTTGAGGTGGTATGGTTCTACCTGAAAATGTTTTCCTTTTGAAAACATCCTCATTCACAAAAAGGAACAACGGGAGCCCTGCTCCATCAGGGATGTCTGTATTTGTTAAAGCTTGTTCAGCAGCCTGCTCCTGTAAACAACAAATGAAAGAGAAATGGTTGGCATATTGTATCAGACCATAGAGATGATGACACAGGAGGAGGACACCATCCCATCATATACCTGCTAATTCTTTGACTGGACCTGTCTGTTCCAATCCCATTCTTCACTTGGTCCTCAGATCATTGATATTCTTCCTTTTCAATCCTATCTGATTCCCCTTGTGGTAAAGCATCCCCTGTTTCAATAACCCTGATTATAAATAGGGATTTTTAAAATTACCCACTTCATTGTTCCCATATGTACCCATCTGAAAGAAGGAACCTAACCCAATCCTAACTACTTCATTTGTGCAGCAGCTGACTATAGCTACATGCGTCATTACTCGTAGCATAAATCCCTTGTCAAAGACCTATTAATCAATTTACAAATGTACTTCCATTAACTGCCGTCAGAAAATTTTGTACCAATGAATTTTCCTTCAGGAGAATGGATGAATCTTTCTGACTGAGAAACAGGCGTTGTGGCTTATAATTGTTTGATGGTATTTTCTACAATTCATTTGTGAGATTTGGGCATTACTGGCCAGGCCAGCACTTATTATGTATTCCTAGTTGCTCTCAAGGTGATTGTGAGGTGTCTTCTTAGCCACTGCAGCTGTACGTAGACGGACAGTTTTTTTAAGGAGGGAGGGCAGGATTTTGACCCGGCATCAGTGAAAGCAAAGTGATATATTTCAAAGTAAAGATGGTGTGTGGTTTGGCGAGGGGAATTGCAGGTTCTAGCTCTAATGTATCTGCTGCCCTAGATTTTCTAGGTGATAGAAATAATAAATTTTGAAGATCCTTTCAAAAATGCCTCAGAGTTCTGCAGAGCATCTTGTAGGTGATCCATACTTGTAGCACCGTGTTAGTGGTGGGAGAGGGAATGCTGAAGATAATAGATAAGCAGCTAATCAAGCAGATGTTTTGTCCTGGATGATGTCAAGCTTCTTGAGTGTTGTTGAAGCTACATCCTTCCAGGCAAGTGGGGAGTATCCCATCACACTCCTGACTTGTGCCTGGTAAAAGGTGGACAGGCTTTGGGGAGACAAGAGGTGAGTAACTCACGACAGAATTCCTAGTCTCTGACTTGCTCTTGTAGCCTCCTTATTTATATAAAGTAAAAGCAAAGTGCTGGGGAAAAATCAGCAGGTCTGGAAGCAGCGGTGGAGAGAGTCACAGAGTTAACATTTTGAGTCTTCTTCGGAACGTTAGAACTAGTTGAAGAATATGATTGGCCCTAGGACATAACTGTGAGAGCTTCCCCCAATTCGAATGGATTCTATTTGTGCTAGGGCTACTTGATGGCACACTCAGTCAAATGCTGAATTGCTGTCACTCTCATCTCACCCAAAGTTCAACCTTTCTGTCCAAATTTGGACCAAAGATGTGATGAGGTCAGAAACATGTATTCCTGGCAGAAACTAGACTTAGCATCAGTGAACAGACTATTGTTGAGTACGTGTCACTTGAGAGCACAGTCAATGACACCTTCCATCACTTTGCTGATGAGGGAGTAGACTGATGTGCTGGTATCTGGCAAGTCGGATTTGCCCTGCAACTTATGTACAGGATATACCAGGGCAATTTTCCACTTGGTCACATAGATGCCAATGTTGTCGCTGTACTGGAACACTTAGCTAGGGGTGTGGCAATTTCTGAAGCATGGGCCTTCAGTACTATACCTGGTGTGCTGTCAGGGACCTTAGCCTTTGCAGTATCCAGTGTCTCCAGATATTTTTTGATATCACATGGACTGAATCTAATGGGCCCAAAACTGGCATCTGTGATGCTCGGGACCACAGAGGGAGCCCAAGGTGGATCGTCCTCTTGGGGGATCACTTAACTGCGCAATGGTCACTCCAACTGATATTGTCATGGATGGATATTGTGACAGTGAAACCAAGGACAAGTAACTTTTCCCTCTTATTGGTTCCTTCACTAGCTGTCGCCGTTCAGTCTGACAGCAATGTTCTTCAGGATTTGACCACCTCAGGCAGTAATGGTACCATCGAGCTTCTCCTGCTGATGCATATTGACATCCCCCATCCACAGTATATTCTCTACTCATGCCTGCAGTGCAGCTTCAAATTGGAGGAGCAGTGGTTCATGCAAGGGAGAGGACAGCAGGTGACCATCTGCTGGCTTCTCTTTGCCTGGGTTTGACGTGATGCCAATTTAGTCACAAGCCTCCAGATGTTAGAAAGGATGATGTTGCAAGGTTGGCAGGGGTGGGTTTGACATTGTTGTTTCCAGGACCTAACTCAACATCAGTGCTCCATCTGGTTTTAGTCCTTTCAGACTTAACAGTTTGATACGAATGGGTCGCTGAGCCTTTTCACAGAGTGGTTCAGAGTCAGTCACATTCCTTTGGAATCAGATAAAAATGTTAAATTTCCTCCATAAGGGCATTAGCCAACCAGAGGGAGAGAGTGTGAGAGGGGGAGGAGGGAGAGAGTGTGAGAGGGGGAGGAGGGAGAGAGTGTGGGACTGGGAGGAGAGAGAGAATGTAGGACGGGAGAAGGAAGAGAGTGTGAGAGGGGGAGGAGGTAGAGATTGTGACAGAGGAGGAGGGAGAGAGTGTGAGGGGGGAGGAGGAAGAGAGTCTGAGGGGTGAGGAGAAAGACAGTGTGAGGGAGGAAGAGGGAGAGAGTCTGAGGGGTGAGGAGGGAGAGAGTCTGAGGGGGTGGAGGAAGAGAGTGTGAGATGGGGAGGAGGGAGACAGTGTGAGATGGAGACAAAGGAGAGAGTGTGGAATGGAGAGGAATGAGAGTGTGGGACAGGAAGGGAGAGGGTGGGGATTGGATCTTTTGAGTGTAGGAGGAATAAGAAAAGAATGTTCAAAGAACTGACCATTGTTAGCGATACTGAAATAAGTGTTGGAAGGAAGTATAAATGTACAAAACTCTGGTGCGGCCGCACTTGGAGTATTGCGTACAGTTC